TGTACTTTACTATCATTAATTAATGTGCAAGAGCAATATACATTATTGTTAATATAGTATTATTTAGTAAATACAATCATGAATTATTTAATTTTTCATTATCCTCAACACTTGAACTTTGTGGTTCCTGTCCAAATATCAGAATCATTTTCATCAGGATACTGTAAATTTAATTTATAAATATGCGGTAATTAGAAATTAATCTAAAATAGTCTTTAATAAAATTACATTGATGAAGAGCAAATCTTGCTAATACTCCATCTATTTTTTTCTCTATCACCTGCTTTACACCATCATGATGTTCATTTAATACATACTGCACATGTGTATGCAACTTTCTCACTAATAATTCTTGGTTTTTCTTAAATTGTTTTAAAATAAGTTCCATCATCTGTTACATCATATTTGGTTTTCTCACTATCAATATTCAGATAATACCATCTTACTATGTCTGACTTTTTCAAGTATCCATATCCTTCATAGATGTACTAGTATTTACTGGTATTATATCACACTTCTTAAAAACTTTAAATAGGCTACATTTTATTAGGGAATATTGCCCTCTTAATTTCCTTGCCCAAATAAATAAATTATTATTTTATTTCAATGCATTAAAGTAAGCAAAAAAATAATTTTATTTTAACTTACATATGAATATATTTTTTCAAGCCATAAAGGCATCTGTTTTTCATTTTTTAAAAATATTCATAATTATGCGCTTTTAGCACATTTCTAGACACATCCATTAATTCATCTTCAGTCTGGTAAATTTTATTTTTCATAAATTGTTTGATACAAAGATTTATAGGACTTTATAAATTATGCAGAATATTAAACATTGCCATAAATTAAATGCACAAATTTACAAATGGTAATTACCTTCCACCAAGATGTTGCTGTTACAAGGGGGAGGGTCTGGGACAGATTGCAATTTTGGATAGTAATTTTATATCATTTATATCACAAAGTTGATATCATTAGGTATACTGCATAGAAATGTGGTATGTTTCATGTTTCAGGATCCAATAACCCACCATAGTATATACCTAAAATAAAAGTAGTTAACAGTGGACATGAAATTGAAATAAAGGTAGTTAACGGTGGACATGAAACTGAAATCAATGCAGTTCACAGGTATTCATAGAACCAAAATAAAATTCAGTGAAAACAGTCTGCATAGCAAAGCGGAACAGTTGATACTAGAATAAAAAAAAACTAAAAATTAATAAAATTTTCGATTTAAACATTTCTTCGATCTATATAAAAATAAAATAAAAATGTTCGTATATATTACTCAAACTTTCAGCTATATTTGCAATGTATGTAAATCCCTCGATAATCGTAGGGAACCATTTAAAGCTGGTGGGTGATCTAGTAAAGGTCAGAGAAGAAATCGAATATGTAAATTTTAATGCTCCAGTGTAGGAATTACCATAAGAGCTAATTAGTGAAATTATAAAGCAAATCAAAGATCCAGTAATAATTGCAAATGTAATGTTAGTAAACAGAACATGGCATAAAGAGGGAAGGCATCGATTATGTAAAGATAGGGATGAAATAATGGAATGGCTAAGAATAAAAAAGGTCGAAAAATTGGACACCACATTATATATTTAAAGATTAATAAGCTAGATGAATATATCAAGATTTATAAAAAGATTAAGGAAAGAATGCAGAATTAGGTAAGCTATACATGATTGCACAGAACATTATAATGAAGCAATGGGTAAAATTCTAGACGAAGATACATTTGATTTCTGATGATTATCATAGATTAGATGAGCAAACCAAACTATTATTTAATGATATACTACTTAATAATGCTAACAACAAATTCAATGATGAAAGAGAGCAGTTTGAGGATCACTAACATGTTAGTATAATTGCACATTTTGATAACATTTGAATGTAACTTGATTAATTAATTATTTTCGAAATAATTTTTCTTTTTTATGTAGAGACCATATTTTGAAACTCAATCTAAATTTGAATTAGACATTTAATTTTATAAATATATTCTCAAGAAAAATTTTTTGGCATATTTCCAAGCATTGGTTCACTTATCAATGGAATCTGAGAAAAGCTCAGTGTGCTAGCAAGATAGTTTCAAGAAATCCACCCTGTAAAAAATTTACTCCGTGATTAGTCAGTGTTTTTTCCGTTATTAAACTCAGTGTTTTTTCCGTTTATATTAATAAATATGCATGTCCATATTTTTTCCATAAATGTATCATATTCATGGAATATATAGTTCCGTTTTTCATTAAAAATGGAGGTTTCACTGAATAAAGTAATTAATAAAATGGATAAAACTCGGATAAATGACTGAGCATTTACTGAATAAATCAATTAATAAAATGGATAAATTCTTGAATAAATTTAATTAATAAACAAATTTTCAAGTGGTCTACTAAAGCAGTCAGTAGAGATTCCGTCCAACTTTCAATCCTGTACATTATTCTTTTTTATTCCGTGCACTTTTTATTTTTTAATTTTTGTATATATATACGAAATTTGAAAAGTTGATAGGCGGAGGCAGTCTGTACGATCTTTGATTCAATATTTTGTCCCATACAGAGCGTAATTTACTACAGAAGCACAGATGTACGGAATACGGAATCTGTATAGACTCCTACTAAAGATAACTCCTCAATTAATTGAGATTAGTTGCAGCTAGTGTTGGTTGCCAAAACTATTTTGAAGAGGCGAAAGTCAAAACTAAAATTAAAAGTTATATGTCAAAACTAAATCAAAAGTCAATAGTCAAAAATCAAAACTAGTTTCGACTTATGGCGAAACCTTTTGACTTTCGCACGGTTGCGAAACTCTCTAATTTTGGAAACCAACACTAGTTGCAGCACATGAAAATTGAATTGCGGTTGCAGTTGTGACTTATGAAAATGTAATTGCAGCTAATTGCGGTTCCCATCTTTAAATGTTACTAACGTAATGAAATGGTAAATTTTTGAAAGATTATTTAGTAATGCACATACAGAAACACGAAAATTTGTATGTGTTACATCACCCTTGTGATTTTGCAGCTTTGAGTTAACACCAGTCCATATTCTGTTTGAAGTTTTCCGTATCTCTGAACAGAATTGTAATTGATTTGAAAGTAATGTAAGTATTAAGACTAGACTAGAAAATTTTTTTTAAAATTGAAAGCATAAATAAATAGAAATCTTACTGCAGGCTGGTTTGCGTGTTCCCATTCTAAAAAATTATAGTTGATATATTCTTGTAATAACATTATACTATTAATTATTAATCACTTTTTTTAGAACCAGAAAGAATTGTTACATGACAATCAAATTAGTTATTATTATATTATTATTATATGTGATAACAATCCTTTCTGATCGTACACCACCAGATCTAAAAAAAGTGATTAATAATTAGTAGTATAATTGTTATTACAAGAATATATCAACTATAATTTTTGATGTTGAATTTTCTATCTATTTTCTAAAAATAATAAATAAGATATGGATGCATAACAATTCTTACTGATAGTACACCACCAGATCTAAAAAAGTGATTAATAATTGATAGTATAATTGTTATTACAAGAATATATCAAACTATGTTGAATTTTCTACCTGTTTTCTAAAATAATTAAATATGGCCACTTAACAATTCTTCTGATCGTGTACCGCCAGATCTACAAGAATATATCATAATTAATAATAAATAAAATATGATTTCGTTCAACCATTAACCTTTGGAAAAAGAAATACCTTTTAATTATTACATTCCTAAATATATATATAAAATATTAATATAAAAATAGGTACAAAAGTAAATATTGAAAAAAAAATCTTAACATTACTTGGGCTCATAAAACTATTTTTTTTTTTATGAATCTCTCTAAAACTAATTAATCAACACCAGATGAGATCTACAAAGCTTGGAAAACAAGTTTTGTAAAATATACTTGATGAATGCTTTATCTAGTTGTATGATAAACGAGTTTGATTATTTGAAATGCCATATAAGTATTTAAAATCCAAAAAAAAAACGCTCTTTACCTATTACCATATATTTTTGTATCTTGGTAAGTACTTGATTAAATTGAGTGATCTTAGATTCAAAAGAAAGCCTGAATTCTATTGTACATACTATTCAAAATTATTTATAGTTGATATTAGTAATGTTATTTAATATTAATTTTAAATCACAATTTGTTGACGCATTTTAATAATAATATATCTTTTATTTCTCTTCTCTTTTTTTGACAATTGTTGTATTATTGTTGTTTGCTCACATAATCTAATTATTTTAAAACGTAAAAAAATTTTAAACTGGATAAATATTATAAATATTCATAACAATATAATTATTTGCATTTATATATACTATACTTACATTTGGACGCGTCAAAAAATTTTACTATGTTGCAGATCATCCAATTATTTTACAACATGCGGAAATGTCATGCGACTAGTTAATTAATTATATACAGTATTAAAATAATAATATTTTCCGTGTGTTTCCATACTAGTGTATTAGTATGTTTTAATCAAGCTATATTTAACAAATAAAATATTTTGTAAGAAAAAAAAATGCCAATTTTTATTTGCGAGTTTATCAGTTACTTAATAATAAAAAGGTCTGTTTTTATTTGCGACTTTATCAGTCACTCAATAATATTCCAGAACTATAAAATCTTATTCTCACATTCCGTTTTAATTGCATATTTACAAGTTAATATAAATGACATCATGGAAAAAATCCGGATTGCTTACTTAATTGTGCTGCTTTTATAAAATAAACTGAACATTTACGGAGTGATAAACATGATCACGGAAATATTCTGGATGTCATTTTTTACAGGATGAAATCTACTGAATTGGTTGAATGATAAATTCTAAAAAAAAATAATTATTTAATTCATTATTAATAATAATAAATTATGTTCGGTGATCGTTTCATAAGAACTTTTGATATCAAAACTCAAAATGTTAATATGATATTTTTTACTTCGTATTCAAGATATAAAATAAATAGATCATCGAAATGATAAAAAAATTATGTGAATTATCGGTGTATCCTACGCAAGTACCCTGTTTTGGTCAATAATTCACGACAACGTGTATTGTGACTTAATTTTTACTGTTTTCTGGATGATAATATTTTAAAGAATGCTTAATAATTAAAAAATGTGCAAAAACTAAAAATTATTATAAAGATTGTCAGCTATTGATAATCACTATCCTCAATATATAAGAATAAAGAATATTATCCCTTATTTAACAATTATCATTTAATAGTATCTATTCAGAAAGATCTGTGAACTAGTTTCATCTAGTATGTCTATCATGCCAATTGTTAGCATATTTAGCATGCTATCTTACACCGTTGAACAACCAAGTATAGAGTGCCTGGTTGAACAAAAGAATTCTCAAAATGTATTAGTTATAGAACAACGTACATAATAATTGCACAATAAGTATTTAGCTTATGTTTTGAAGATCCATAAATTAATTCAAAAAATAGATTTCTATTGAATAAAGGGCATACTCCTATGAAATTTAGTGTTTCTAGATTTCTAGAACTTTACCAATTAAAAATATAAGAAATTCAATCATTTTTTGACGATTTGAAAAAATATTTTATCAATTCTTATTAACATTTTTATAAAATAAATTTTGCTGAAGATTTCATAAATTTAGTATTAAGGCTACATCAAGATCTCAGAAACCTATAATAGATGTTTCCAGCATGCAGACTAGCAAAGTTTATATAAAAAATTTCCAAAAGTTACTGGCTAAGATAGGTAAAATTAATTGTACTTTAAAAGATGTTCAAGTTTTTACAAGGTAAAATGGTTTTTCCTCGCAACTAATATAAGGGTAAAATTGTTAATTACTGATCCTTTTGTGATTGGCAGTAAAATTAAAGGTCCTTAACTGTCCAGTCTGATTCTGGGACTGGAAATCCTACCTTAGGACCAGACTTAAATCCTGAAAAATTGATCCGAGGCTTTTTTTAAACAAAAAATATTGTAATATTACAAGGTAGCTTTTTGGTAAACCTCGATTATTTTACTTTTATGACCGAGTCTGAGTTAACTTTTTGGCTACACTCGTCGATTAATTGCAAGCTTTTATATACAATTCTGTGAATTATTTACAAAATTATTTACAATTATCCAGCTTACTGCTTCTTTCTTGTACCTAGAAGGTTTCAGTGAATCAGTAAGCATGATTTATGACACAAATAACAACGTATTATAATAATGCAATTATAAAATTCCTATTTAATTTTTGCTTTTCTTTGGCTGATTAAAGCCAGCCTTACGTTTATAACAATTACTGTAACACAATACAATATGTGGTGATGATAACTGTTGACGCTTAATACTTTTTCCAATTAGTCTTAAAACCTTACGTTTACACTTAAACAATTAAGCACGTCTACAAAAAGTTAAACAAAAATGTTTACGCATAACAAAAACCAAAAATCAAACCTTTGCTTTATACCAAAACAAAATACTCGACACCCCAAATTCTATACCATTCGGATGACCAAATAGATAATTAAATCCTATTGTTTAATTCCTGACCACAAAAGTGTTTTATTAAACAAAAAAGAATTAATTATTTACTGTATGTATAAATATTTTTTCTACATTTATTTATTATTTATTATGAATAGATTGGTAAACGGATGGATGGATGAAGAATTCAATAAAAAGTGTAGTTAGTAATAGTTGATTATTTGGCATATGAAAAATCCAAATATTGATGACAATTTTTAAAACTAAAAAAAAAATTACCATCGGTTATATGAAGATCTTTTATAACTCCGGTCCTAAATAGAATATTGGGTAAAATCTAATTTTACGAGAACGTCTAGTAATAATACTAA